AAAGGAAAAAAAAGAAGGGTATAAATCAATAATTTAAGCTTGTACCTCAAGAAATTAGAAAAAAAAAGAGCAATCCAAAGGAAATAGGAGGAAATGACAAATACAAGAAGTCATTAAAATTAAAAACAGAAAAACTATAGAGAAAATCAATGAAACCAAACGCTGGTTCTTTGAAATGACCAATAAAGTTGATAAACCTCCACTGAGACTGAGAAAGGAAAATAACAAGAAAAACATAAATTCTCAATATTAAGAAGAAGAGAGGCTATATCACTACAGATGTTTCTAACCTAGACAATAAAGGGATAATTTGGGAATGCTAAGAACAATTCTATGCACATAAATGGGATATCTTTATGGAGGGGATCAATTCCAGAAAAACCACAAACTACCAAAACTCTCCTAAAATGGCATAGATTATCTGAATGGTCCTACAACTATTAAAGAAATTGAATTTGTAATTAAACATCCTCTGAAAATGAACTTTCCTTTCCCAGATGGTTACTATGAAGAACTCTAACATTTGAAAAACAATTCAACATAATCTCTTTCAGAATATAGTAAAGGAATGAACATTTCCTAAATCTCTGAACTCAGTTTATCAGGCCAACATTACATTACAACAAAGATAGTAAAAACGAACTTTAAAAAAGCAAAACTGCAGACTAATATGTTTTATGAAAACAGATACAGAATTCTAGATTCTGATTTAACAATACTGTTGAAGTAGACATAAAGGAAGTTGGGGAAGAAGCTGAGACAAATACTGTAGAGAAAAATACAGGTTGTGAAAGAGGAAGGGAAAGAGAAATTGAGATAGAAAGTGTGTGTAGAGGGGCGCCTGGGTGGCTCAGTAGGTAAAGTGTCTGACTCTTGGTTTCAGCCCAGGTCATGATCTCAGGGTCGTTAAGATCAAGCCCCCAGTCGGGCTCCATGCTCAGTGCGGAGTTGGCTTGAGATTCTCTCTCTTCCTCACCCTCTGCCCCTCCCCCCTGCCCAAGCTCTCTTAATTAATTAATTAATTATTTTAATTTAAAGAGTGTGGCTAGAGAAACCTAATTTCAAATCCGCTCCTTTCCACTAAATACTGAGCAATTTGATTAAGGTTTATCACCTCTCTGGGCTTCACTTTACTCATCTCTAAAATGGAAGTAAAAGCAATTACCTTATAAGTTGCTTACATCATTTGAAGGATTAAATAAGATCATGTTTATACATTGCTTAACACAATGTCTGGCTTATATAAGTGGTAACTTAAAACCAAAGTGACTGGACATTTGCTGATGAAGTAAACAATACTCCCTGCACAACATCCAATGTAACCCAGACTCTATAACAGTTCTCTTTCCTTTTTTTTTTTTTTT